CCGGTACCCATTGAGGAGGTCTGTTTGGGGCACACTGCCAACAAATAAGAAACAGTTTTAAAAATACCTTTTACGTCATCTCGTATAGAGAAGATGACATTAAGATAGAATACTCATACACAAACAAGCAACTGGTAAACAGCACGTCAAGGACGTCAAAAGTGTTCTAAATTTGAGGGGGCAGACTTGGTATTGCGATGGGTAATGTGCGCAAAATTTTGAGAAGATTCGATCGTCTCTTGCCCCTCTTCATACGCTTTCTACGGCCTTGTAGCTTTACCAGTATTAATAATATCTGTGCAGTTGTGTTAATCCAGGAATTATATTTCTTATAAGGGAGGACTTCTTGATACATGAGGTGCTACCCAAAAGTTTTGAAGCAGCTACGGGAGAGCTTTAGGCGCAAACGTCCGGAAAAGTGGGAGAACAACAGCTGGGTTCTCCACCACGACAACGCGCTCGCCCACACATCGCTCGTTGTTCGGCAGTTTTTGGCTTCCAAAAACACGACATTGATTCCCCATCCACCCTATTCGCCTGACCTCGCCCCCTGCGACTTTTTCCTGTTCCCCAAAATGAAATTTCGATTGAGAGGCCGTCGTTTTGACACAATTGAGGAGATCCAGGCAGAATCACTTGAAGACTTCCAGGGATGCATGTGATAATGAAAAAAACGCTGGGATCGCTGTATCCATGCCCAAAGGGACTACTACGACGGAAACTAGGAGTTATGATAAGCAATTTTTTTATGGGCAAATTCCCTGAACTTTTGGGTAGCACCTCGTATTCTCACTGTTCGGCTGTCACTGTCGCCTATGATGCCGACAGCAAAGCAGCGTTTTGCCCACACATTTCAGTCCGTATGACGTACACTGAAGCCGGTTCTGTCTGCGAACGCCATCTGTCAAGTTCAGGGAGAAACTGTACTGTAACACACTTTACATTATAATAGTGTTCCAAAGAGAAAGCTATTTGTTGCGTTACATATTTATCAACGTGTTCTCATCTGGACAGCTTACAGATGTTGAGTGACAAGATGGTTGTGGATTTCATTTGGAAAGAATGCGAAACCCCGCAAAGAAACGGAAGGCTATGTAATCAGACATCGGTCCAAGATTCGAAACCCTGACCTACTGAATACGAAGCAGAATAATGAACGAGGCTGTTAAAGTAGACTTACACTTAACAGGCGCGTTCAGTAAAGGGAATTATGAATGACATGATAACGTCCATGCTCTCCATATTACAAAGAAATAACAATTATAACGAGAAGTCAATACCGTTCAGTGTTATTACACACACGAAATGAATATTATATAAATACATAAATAAAACGTGTTTAACATATGACACAAAGTCGCAATGTAATAGAGAACTCAATTAGCATAACAAAACAAATCTGATTTCAACGCAGTCTAAATTCAATGAAGACATTCTTTTTTAACTGCTTTGATCTTCTGCTGAAACAAATAAAACATTTATCTTCGTGTAGAATGACCAATTGTGGTAGGATTATGAGTGCTGTTATGTAAAATAGTCCTTGTAGCTCTCCGATATGAATTAACAGTAAAATTGCTTGACAATTTTTAGCAAAATTCTCTAATATCAAATCTTGTCAGCATCGGATTATCCGTTCTCTAGTTTGCTTCATACGCTGATTGACAGACGTACGGAACCACAAATTCTCGATACTATGCATCTCAAGCAACAGACTTTTGATTCCCTATTCTTACCCTGATGAGGACTTCCATTGTTTTCCAATTTATCTCCACGCGTACGGCCAGAGTACTTCAAAACTGACCACTACTATTTCCTTCTTACCACTTTGAGATCACCCCTATTCGACAAAATGTTTTTTATAGGCGTAGAATTTAATACAAATTATGAATTAAAGTGCGTTGAATTTGTATCATATGTTGGTATCAAGTGGAGATGACCATAATAAATGTAGTTATAGGATTTGAGACTTTCGCGGCGAGTACAATCAATAAAATCTTCTCGGGCAATCAGTCGCGTTAGCTGGTTATCGTAGTAAACCGACGTTTCGGGAACAAATCTTGTCGCGACTTCGAGGATCCAGTCACATCAGAACCCTGAAGCTGGGGACAGAGTTTGTTCCCGAAACGTCGGTTTACTACGGTAACCAGCTAACGCGGCAGATTGCCCGAGAAGATTTTATTGATAAATGTAGTTGTTTAGATTGCGTAGATGTTTATGTTTGTACCTCAATACGCTTTTATTGTGAGGCTTAGTCACTGACCAACATAACTCTCAGACGTTAGTAACGAGCCTTTAATATTCTATTGCATCCAATGATATTCTTGTAATGTGCATTAAAACTCTGAACTGCATATTGAATCTTCGTAAATTCTGTTTGTATCGTGTTCATTCTGTCACTCAAAACACATGAATAAAATTTGTGTTTTGAAATCAGCTGTGCAGTAACAAAGGGTTTCTCCTGACAAGAATTATTCGTATTTTAATTATGTTGCAAGTAAGAAGGCAAAATTACCCCCTCCCCATTTCTTGATAATTTTCGTATAGGCACTGAAGAAAATTATTAAACAAGTAGTTATAAACAAACACACATTTTAATCTTGTCGCTCCTCGAAAAATCCAGATCGGAAGTAACATCGACTCGAGTTAATGAAAATAAGTGGTAATTGCCTGTTACTTGACACGAGACGGAAATTCCACGCCAAATGTAATTTAACTCCCAGAACGCTCGGTGCGAAGAAACAGCTGTGTTGGAAGTTCAACATTTCATTCAGGGTCACTTTAACTCCGCTGAAGGTCGTAAGAAGCAAGTTTAAAGGCTGATGAAATGTTCTGAAGATAGTGGATTTCTATGGTATTCTGACGCCTCGAACCTTAATCAGTCCAGTTCTACACAACTAATTAAGCTAATTGATGTGTTTACATAAAACCCATAAATAAAACCTTCACAGGTAAACAGTTTCTCATATTTCGTTTCTAAAACAATCAGTTATTCTACAATGCGCAATTTCAGCTTCGATCTATAAAATAACATTAGGAAGTTTAAAAAATGTCGTTGTGGCCTATGCTGATTATGTTACTTTGTTTAATAGAAACACAAGCTGTGTCAACAAAATATCTTCGATGCTAGTAAGGGAGTTGGATTACAAGTCAGTTGTGTATATCCGTGTCTCTCCACCCTGGTGAAAAGACAAAATACTAAATCCTTATAAACTGTGGTACAGACTGACGTTAATGGGAAAATGGGTCTAGAACAGATTCAATTATTGGCCTCAATCTATAATCTGTAAAAAATCTGTCTATCCACTTAGAAGAGAGTCCTAATTGAGAAGCTTACAGTCACTTTTCTAGTCAATAACTGCTCCTTCTTTTATAGAGCCCGAAGGTACATTGCATTATTCACAGAAACTAGCTACCGATCCCTGTCATCAGCCAGACCAATCTAGAACACACCCTCCAAAAATGTCTCCTTAAAATACATTTTAGGGCTCCGCAGTGGCTGCGCGGTCTGAGGCGTGGGCCTTGTGCCGCTTGGTCGCTGGGACCGTGGGTTCGAATCCCACTCAAGCCATGGATGTTTGTGCTGTCCTGTGTACAGGTAGAGGCCTTGCGACGGGCCGATCCCTCGTCCAAGGAGTCCTACCGAATGTCCATAGATCAAAGCCAACGAAAAGTTGGGACCCGCAGTGCTCAGGCACTTGAAGAACGGGTCGTTCCCAGTATCCCAGTAAAATACATTTTAATTTTTTCCTCCAAACGCCAGGTCATCCGAGTGGTGGTCCCCTCCCCCAAGATTTATAAGTAAAATGTTGTATACATTTCTAATCTACTCATTCGTGTTGCATGCTCCGCCCTCCTTTATTCTCGCGACTCTAATAACAGGCTATTTGGTGAACAGTACAGATTTTGGAGGTCCTCATTATGTAATTTTCTCAAGTCTCCTGTCACTTCAGTCCCCTTAGGTGCAAGTATTCTTGTCAGCACCCTGTTTCTCAAACACCCTCAGCTTGACAGAAAAAGCAGCGTACTGGGAGGTTAGAATTCAGATTGATCCCAAGCAGTAGTGTATTTAGTGTGCTGTTGTAGACGTCGTATTTTAAATTAAGGGCCTGTAGAGCAGTTGGGACGAATTTATGCGTTCAACGTCCGTTATAAGTACTGGCAAGGGGTCAGAGAGATTTGGAGGGGTAGAACACTGTTTGTAAAAAAAAACATTACTTTCAAGGCAGTACTTTGTAGTTCACTGTCTCGGTTCTTATGTAGGTAATGTCTTTGGTTTGCTTAGTATATGCGTTCGTTTTCCTTGTAGGCGAGACGCTCAGTTTGGTTCCCGCTGCTGTAAATTGTTTTTTTTTTAGGAGAACGAGAAAAGTTTTGTGTGCCAGTTTCCTTCCTTTAATGTTTAACTTCACTGTATCGTTTTCATGTAATGTGCTGCTAGTAACAAAATGGTTCGTGCTCTGTTTTAAATCGATAGGAAGTGAAAGTGGTTCTCCCTACAAAACTTCTTATGACAAAGCGTTAATAGAAAGTGAAAGGAAAGGTAGTAGACATGGAGTGTACGTACCTATGTAGCTTCAGCGCATAATTTTTATTCTAGTCCTTCAAGACCTTCGTATCTAGCACAGACATCATCAGTGTTCTCACTTCAGTCCTGAAGACTGAGACAGTGTAATTCTCCAAAATGCTGGTGTCTACCTGCAAATGCACGTCTTGCAATCCAAAGAACCAACATAGACATACGAAGTAGTTACTTTAGAGAGCTTATGTTCTACCTTTAGAAGCAGTATAAACTCCCATTCTTTAACAACACATTTGCTGTAGTTCTTACGTGATCAGGATGTTAATCCATGCGGCCATGTATGGTACGGATTCTACACAACCTTACATCCAATAGTTGATAAAGCGTCGTTATGTGATATAAAAATAAATGCGTAAGGAATACCAAAATGTATTAATTACCATACTTGCTAAAAGAATTGACATAAACTGTTGGAAAATAAAATACCACTTAACTGGTAAAAATGATGTTACGTATTCTTAATTTTGAAATATAGACATTGGATATGTCAACAAAAATACCCCAACATAATTCTGTGCTATGATCACCAAATTTAAACCGTACGTTAGGAATACATTTTTGCTGTTGTCCACCCTGGTCAGTTGCTAATGCACTGGTCAGGCTTGCAGTGCGCCCCCAGACTATGAAACAAATGCTTTACTGTATAACACAGCAATGGTACAATAATATAGTACCTTAGCATTGTTGTGCGATTGGATTATTCATTGACCCTTACATAGGCCTTCTGTTCTCATCTAGATAACAACGCAGTCATATATGTACATGAATTTTTCTTTCGCAATTACAAATTGATTTTTGCGTTGCAGGGTCCGGGAGACTATTGCGGTGGACCGTCAGATGTAAGGGGAAAGTGTGGTGAAGGAATGCATTGTGCCTGTGGAAAATGCAATGGGTGCTCTCTTACTACTCTCGATTGCTACTTTGGTCTCGATCAACTCCAGTGCCTCTAAGATCGATAGTTCGATACGAGCATCGCCTGCTGGCCAGCTGGCAAAGTTATTACCGCCATACTTGACATCTCAGGCTGCGTACATGTTTTGAAGTTTGTTACATTTATTTATTTTGCAGTATTATAGACGTGGTCATTCTTAAATGTGCATCCTATTTATGTTGTATTTATAATTTTACTGGAAGACGAAGTGAGATTATGATAACAGTGACGGCTGTTACTTCTGTGATCGCACATGAATGGACTAAAGCGTACATCTATTTAAAAATCTCTAATTAATAGTTATAATATTTATTTATTATTCCATTAGTTCATTTCATTATCAACATCTTTATTTTGTGAGGTAAGATAATTTAATTGTGTATTTTAAAACTCAAAGCAGTAGTCCAATGTATTTAATTTTGTTGTTTTCGTATTGTTTATATTTACTGTTATTTGGAATTATAATATTAACTTTATTAAGCACAACGCTTCCGTAATTCACTACAAAATAAAGATATCTTATTGAAAACTAGGACAGTTTTTTATAACCTTCATTTTCCATATTCTAGGAGGAAAGGCATGTGAGTACCGCTTGGTTATTCTGTACGTCTTTATCGCCACGTGTTCCTGCTCTTGAAGCTAAATAGTTCATGTATATGACGGATTAATCTGGTAAGCCAAACGTTTTATGAACACTGAATAATTTTATAAAATGAAATGATAGTAACTGTTTTCTGTCTTTCACAATTGGAAAGCATGTGAGACAGTACCAATGTGGGCATCTCGATAAAAAATTAACATTGTACTGACGAAGTAACCATACCTGTTCGCTGCTCTGAATGAAAGACAATATTAGGTTAGGTTGGACTCGGTTAGATTACATGTCTATGAGGTCCGTTTAATCAGGATGTCGACTAAGCCAGTGTACGATGTTATTTCAACTATCACAATCAAGTATGGAAATATTATGAAGGTGTGTAGGTAAGGACATGAATGAAGATGTCTGTGGCATATTTCATTCTATCCCAGCGAAACACAAGTACTAAATGAGGTTAAATTTTTCAACAGAAATTTATTTTATCGAATATTCTAGGTAGAAAACGTAGCTTTGGTGCATTTGCAGAAAGTCGAAACGAAGTGATAATAGGCATATTATGATTCGTATTTCATGAATCGCATTTGACAAAACGTACTTGTGAATTTGTTTGAATCAGTTGACGAGCAAGTAGGGTGTAGTGTTAATACCGTTTTCGCTTCAATGAGGAAGGACGCTGATTCATTTATAGAGGACCCCACCAATCTGCAGTTTAAAAAGTGGGATGGGACAGTGAAGCACATACGCCTTCTTCATTGGGTTGTTGACGGAATTTGATTCAAGTGAACTAGTACGGTTATAAATGAGTACGGCTGTGTTAAATAGTGATACTTAACCTCAGTCACTGTTAAGACTATCATTTAATAATATGACACGCACAAAGAACGTTGAACCTTCGTAAGACCTGTTCATTTGACATACAACTAAGGAAGGCTTCCTGAAACAAAGACATTGATGGCTTTCAGAGTTGCAAAACAGTCATAATTCTTTCGTTGGTCAAGGTCGTTGTGTGGATGGAAAAACACTCACTGCAAAACTATAACAATCCAAAGTACGTTTTCGTGGTTTTCCTCAGTTCCGCCTGTTGAATATAGAGGCAATATAGAATTTTTTTGGGTCCGCGGTGGCCACGCGGTCTGAGGCGTGGGCCTTGTGCCGCTTGGTCACTGGGACCGTGGGTTCGAATCCCACTCAAGCCATGGATGTTTGTCCGTGTCTTTCTGTGTTGTGCTGTCCAGTGTACAGGTAGAGGCCTTGCGACGGGCCGATCCCTCGTCCATAGATCGAGCCAACGAAAAGTTGGGACCCGCAGTGCTCAGGCACTTGAAGAACGGGTCGTTCCCAGTATCAAGTATAGAAATTTTTACCCGATTAAAAAACCGCAATTATCTCAACATGCGTATATAATTCCCATGTCTGCACGAGACATAAAACTACGTAATAAAGACAGGGCCAATTGCCGGGATCATAGGCCTAATTCAGAAGAACGAATATAAGAAGTCTCATATTGTGAAATTGAAGGAATCGTTTACAGACCTTCTAAGCGTATTCGTTGCACTAAACACTTCCAGGAATACAGGGTTTAAGCAGAAATGACAGGAAAATATATTGCTATTTGCGAAATAATGAAATGTGTTTGTGAAGTTATACTTGTTATTTGTTTGTCTGTAGATATTTAGAAGTTATATGAACTGCGGTGCTATTTGGTAATTTACGGCCAAGAAACTGTTTGCTTCATCTCCCACATTGTAGGTTATAGGATCAGTCAAATGTCCTTGGACAAAATAAGTGTTGAATAAAAAACAAACCAAAAAGGCCACACATGCTTTGTTTTATTACATGCGCACACGAAAGACAATTTTGTGTCTGCCAGTCCAACAAAATAAGTCATATACAGAATAAGGATAAAGTACCAATTAATTTGTCCTCTATTAATATATCATGGTTCTAAACCTTTTAATGAATGCTTTTGCATTAGAACATGATTTTTTTTGTCTAATGTAATATCAACACATTTTTGTAGTGGATTGTGGTTTTAAATTGCATAATTTGTTCAAGGACTTCTGGCCTATCCTGTGTATTACTACTAACTGTATCACAAAAATAAATAAAATAACTTTTGATAGAGGTACAATACGTACCGGTAACTGAGAAATGCAGATGTAGTTTAACTGTGGAGGATTGGGTATGGCGACATGTCTGTAATGTCGATTGAGTTAACTGTGCGGAAACCACTTCATAACTTTTAACAGCTGATCCCTACAAAATTAAAATGTTTCTAACATCAAAATACTGCAAACCCTCCAGATTCTGGCCCCCGGTCTCTTGATTGTTTAGGCCTGTTGAATCGTAGGTTATGTAACAACGCTTTTTCCACTCCTCATCTCTTAAAAAAAGAACATTTTGAGATAAAAATAGTCCTGTAATAATTCCACGTGTATGTGAGGGGTGACATTGACCGTCCAATACCGCAGGAGTTTTATAGGAATTCTTTGTGAATCAGTATGAACATAAGAGTGATTTTGACACAGATTCCATGATAATAATCATGATTGTACTTTTGAAATATATTGAAATGTTGTTCCTTATGACGTCTACACATTACTTTTGTTGAGTGCTTACTTAGTCTTTCTTTAACATATTAAGTTAAAGTCGTCTGGACAATGCTTGATTTTATTATGTCAGCGCAGTGTTATAGGCTCCAAATCGACGTCGTAATAGATAATGTGAGCTAGTCACAGCGCCGTGGATGTACTATGATTTTTTAACATGTTTAAGCTCTGAAGTATATTCCCGTTACATTATAACCGCTTAGTTCAGAAGTGATCTGAGGTAATACAACGACTTTCAACAGATCTAGACTAACAATCAGTAGGTCTACCTGTGTCAAATTTTATCGGGACTTTAGGAAAAGGTAAACATTACTTTTTGCAGATGACTGCATTTATTTGATCGCAAATGTTAACATATATAATTGGTCTAAACAATACATGTAAATAAGTTGGAATAGTACAATGTTTACAAAGCATGAAGAAATAAATTGGCGATTTTCAAAACAACCAATTGATTTGGAAATAAATTTCTCCTTCATCTGTAACAGTCTTCTTTTTAAGCTTGATTTGAAAATTTGTGTGCAGGACGAAAATACAGACTATAAAATTGTTCACAATAAAATACAACCAATTAATAACTATATCTGTGGGAACTGTAAAATTAATGCAATTTTATTAAATTTTACATTTACGTAATTGTGAAAAACATACGGAAACAATGCAGAGTAGTTCAACAATAATGGATTGAAAAAAACCTACAACAGCGACAGGCAGTAAATGTAACACAAATAACGACACAACGCCATTCATATTCGTTCCCTGAATTTTGTTGATATTTAAACGACACTAATGTTTGAATCACACGGTAAAATATCACTCCAGCACCACCAGATCAAATAATGATCTTAAAGTCGTACTTTTCTTCAAGATCTTTACTCGTTATTGAACGACAAAGAGACGCAAATTTTCGAGCGTCGTCTGACAGTACGAACACCATAGTGACTGCAGTACATTACACTGATTTTACCGTGTGATGTTTACGTATCAGACAAGAATAATGAATGTCACAGTGAGTACACCACAAAACTATCAGAACAGTATCTGCTTATTGGCATTCCTCATACACAAACATAAAAGTTACAAAAACAAAGATACTCTTGTAGCCACGACTAAATAAGAGGAAAGACTCCGTGGTTGTATTGTCATATTAAGTCTATCCAAATATGGCAACAGTTAATTATCAAATACTTCACAGATATGGGTTATACTGGTACAACACAACAAGTAATATCGAGTCTTCTTTCGTTAGCATATAGCACATCGCAAAATGTAAGTTGTACGTACATCAGAAACGTGATAATTGAATGCACTTGCTATGTAATTTTCCTGGTCCAAAGTGACATAAAAATCGGCCTATATAAATTCTAGTTACAATGTTTGCGTTTAAACGTATTCATATAAACATATTTTTCAAAGCACATAATGTAGGAAATTGTAGGCTGCAGTATAAAAATTTGGGACTTTGTTATAAATTAAAAATCGCTTGCGATCTGTGAGGCCATGACTTCGATAACAGGAATCGTAACTTGACGGAACTGATTCTATCCTATTATGCCACAGTATTCATGTTACCAAAACAGACTAGAATTGCTCTTAACAGATAGTATTACAATACATCTAGTGGTGACACTTTAATATCACCCGCTAGATATGGATAGTTTTGACAGATGCTTTACATACAAAATAAATTCGTTGAGAAATGGTTCTCTTTATTTTTCAGCCAGCCTTTCACAACTTCCGTTTGTTTTCCTTTTGTATAGGCCTACAACAATTTTTATTTACAATAATGTTCCTGCATCGTCCTTTAATGTAGGCCTGTACTGCTTACGTTCTCCCTCATTTACATAGGAAAAAATTAGGATCATGGGGTCCTTCTGTTATTTTATAACTTTCTTCAGCAATTTAGGGCTTCTGAGTGCTGCAATGGTTCAGCAATGGCCACAGTACTTTCTTTAGCTTTGGCTTCGCAACCCAAATGGATAAAACGTTTCTACTACCTTGTAAAATACAACTTTCTTTTATCCTAAACCTACAAAAGTTATGCACGCTGCCGTACACAATTGTAACATTCTCCTGGTATTTAACTGGTAACCAATTTATAAACTAATGAGACCCAATTTATATATAACTTCAGTGCCAGAATTATGTATTTATATTTTGTACAAAGCAGCGTCTGATATGTTACTGTTGATGTACCACTTACATACCTGTACATTTTTAAAAACTTCAAGTGACCTGAAAAAAGTCACGTAAGAGTTATGATAGGAAGTGCATTCGTCCATTAGGTTACCAGACATTGCTTCATTGCCTTGAAGAGATGTGGTGATGAGTCACTCCACTGCATGTATACATTATTCTGGTATGCGTCTTGGGTCCCTTTAAAAATTGAAATCTCTTTAAATTAACTGTCACATAGGAATGTCACAGTCTTAGCACAGAGGTTGCACGAAGTGACTCACACAACACGGCCTTCCGAGAGCGCTGTGAAGTGAGGTAACTCATGTCTCTAAATTAAACTACAAGACGATACTGCATACCGCTTCTGATCAGCCAATAAACCTCAGCAAGAAAGAACTTTTTGGACTCTGGTTCCTTATTTTTGGTAGGCCAAATAAAAAGCAGGACGTTGTAAAATGCAGAACTATTTTGAACTCACAGTGTACAATCTACACATACTTTAAATATCAACTTTGCAATTCAATCATCTCCAGACAACGTCATCATTAAAATGTATATTTGTTACCGTACTACATATATGTGGCGCCCATCTTTAATTGTTGGCCATATTAACATATGAATAAAATATAAAAAACAGCCATAAAACACGCACCTATTAAAAAGTGACAGTAATTTATATTGAAATCAGGGCTCTTTCAAAAGTGTATGAACTGTTCAACACCCAAAGCGGGAACTCTAGAAGGCCATGTTAATTAAATGACTTAATGTGCCAAATGGTCCCCACTTCTGATGTTCACGCATTCCTACTGAGCAACGCTTCGTATAGTGTGTTGTATTGTGTATGTTAATATCATTTTGCGGCGATATGAGCTTGAAGGAGGCCGAAAGCTTTATTTACAGGTGTTGCTCCATTTATCTGCCAATTGACCAAGATTAGCACACTTACTTTATAGCCTACATAGATGAAAGCATAAACCGGAAGCAACACATTTGCATTCAACTTCTAACTTCTTTGAAAACTTATTGAATGAAGCTAATTTGCAATGTTCCACCCACCGTAGAAATTTTTACCTAGAAAGCTTTGTAGTCATTTGTCTTTGCACAGAATCACAAGAAAAGGGAGCACTCCGTTAAGAATATAAATCATCTGCTGCCTCACTTTTTCTGTTGTTGTTGCTGCTGCTGCTGCTGCCTTGCCTTCACCTCGCGGCGCGCTTGGTAGCCACGGAAACCTGCCTGTATTTTGACAGCAGCATCACTTTCAGCCTGTCGCCTCTTTCTCACCAGATAGCCTCTCACACCTGCCTGGATCATTGTTGCTGATTTATCTTCAATGTCGCCTGCTGGAGTTCCATTTGTCGCCCTCACCTCCTCCTCTTCCTCCTCCTGGTTAGAAGACTGTGAGAGAGAACCCTGGCTTCGTGGTCCATTCTTATTATCCTCCTCGGTATGTTCCCGTAACTGTTTACGAACTTTATAACCTCTGAATCCAGCCTGAATCTTAGATGCCGCTAAATTGGCTGTCTTGATATCTTGACGCGTTTCGAAACCATGGTGAGATGCTTTAATCCTCGTCGCAGCTTCTGCTTCACTAACTGTTGCTGTCTCGTCCATCTTGGCTTCACCGCCTTGCTTCGACTCCGTCATATCCGTTTCCTTGTTACCAGCTGCTGGTGTGACGTCATCGTCTGACTGTAAAGGCGTACTGGATGCTGTGACCACGTGATTTCGAGCACCTGATGATTGGACCAGAACCAAGAGTAATAATTAGCATCCACATGCTAGCAAGGTCGGCAAGTTCTTGTGAGAATACAAGACGAACAATGTCATCACAACACGGCGTATTCACAGGGGATTTCAAGCAGCGAAATGCCATATGTGGTGTCAGATATTATCGCGATGATCGTATTGATTGACCCCCAATTAAGCGAAGTCGATTCCTATACCGAAGCGTGTCACAAAAATGTCATATTTAGTGATGTGTTCAACGGATTCGATTAGGAGACAACTAGAAACACGTATGATTGTTTCCCCACATTTTTAGGACAAGGTTTATATAAATCTTTCCACAAGCTCTGAAAGTGCTTGTCCATCCTGGTTACTAGGCCTGCAAGGTAGGATGATCATTAAATCCGTATCAAAGCTTTTTTTCAATGACTTCAGATGTAACGCTGTGTAACCAATGTAACGTACGTTGTTCTGAAATGCAACGCACTTTATCCTCACATTCGAGTCCTTTGTAATGTTTTAACCCTTTGAAACCGCAGCTCGTTTAAATAATGTTTGAAAATAAAATTTCTGCCTCAAAGAAACACAAGTCTCCAACACAAGGGACAATTGATTGTTGCTGTTTTTTCCGAGAATCATTCGAATCCATAAAAATATTCTGTCCACAAATTGCAGTTACTGGATGCTGATACAAGCGGTGCATGTAGTAGGTTAATCGCTGTGCTTTAAAAGGTTAATAACGTAAATGTGTTTTGTGACACGACTTAAATTAGTCTTTGTTTAGAATTTTTCACCTTTATCATTCCTTCTCAGATGTGCCTTTCTTAGCCTAGCCCCTATGGAATGTGTCGAAAGCTATTCAGCATCCGCCCAGTCTCTACGCAGCAGCGATCCTTGATCCGCAAACAAACAACCTTCAAATAACCGCAAGAATCCGGTAATGTATTTACATTTCAGCAAAAACACGAGGCCTGGGCCCATAAATAATGATACAGATGTCCTGAATTCCACGGTTTACGGCCTATATTATTTCTACTGGGCCAATAGGATCGTAATTGTTTTAAATATTTTTTTAACTTCCTGTTTGCTGCTCTTTAGAAGAAACGAATGGAAGGCCCCACGCAGAATATTGTTCGCAATGAAGAAGATGGGGTATAAGAAATACAAATGTCAATTATCTGGAGGAAAACAGTCTAATTATTTTCCTTCTTGAAAACCTTGCAGTAACTCAGCTAGTCATTAAATTCCCTGTATTTTATGAAACTCGAATGTTAATTGCAGTGTTTACAACAGCCCGTCACCGGTTCCTATCAATATTCGAAAAAATCCAACCCACTCTCTTGAACCTATTTTCTTAAAATCAGTTTTAATATTATCTCATTTTTTACACATAGGTTTTCCACCTGCTTAGCAACAATATGTCTGCGTGCATTTCTCTTCTGCTCCATTCTTTCTTCATTCTCTGTTCGTCTCATCCTCTTAAAATTGTGAAGTTCGTGCCGCGGTTTTACTCTGTCTGGAGGATTATGTTGCCGAAGTATATAAACAGTTTTATTTGGAAAGTTTCCCTTAGGGTACATTTAGCCTGATTAATCCTCAACAGGTTTCAGTAAACAGTTAACTTTCCGCTTTCTATCGGGCGTCTTTTAGGCCACCTCGGCTTCACAATGGCCGAAAGCGACAAGGACGGGAAAACACTAGAATTATTAATATTCTGTTAAATACGCGCGTTTTAATGCCCGCCTTCCGTCTCGTTACAGATGAGAATTGGAATTAGAGCCCTCTTCGTACGAAGTACATACTTTATAGTGCATACATGCTATGTTCTAACTTTATTATTAATTTTCTACAAATTTCTGACGTCTTTCTAAAGTTAATTTTCTAAGGGTATTATAGTATTTGTAAGCAGACTTTCAGAGGACTTCTTAATGTAAGCCTTTCAAAGCATTCTTAGGTAAAAATATTCTCTGAAGATGCAACAGTCGTAACAGATGCGATGCAGATTGGATTTTATGCCATTGTAAACACATGTAAGAGCTTACCGTGTCCTCGCGACCCAAGTGTGTCCTTACTACTAACTAGACACTTCGGCGAGGTTTGATGAAAACCGATTTTATGCGCAGCCCCATTCTCGTAATAACACGAAGGTTCCATATACAGGTTAGAACGTTGTAGTTTACACACACACATGAAGTCAGAATCCATATTTACCTGCTATCTGCGTCAAACTATTGTAATAATTCAAAAGACTGTCGTTCTAAAATTATTTCCAACTTTAAATTTAAGTTTATATCGATATGTTGGAAATGTTTATGAACGTGTGTATTTCTGCTGCAGTCCGTATCAGACAACTATCGCTTGTGAGAGTGTAAAACCCCTCACTTCAGTGGGCTTGAACGTTTCTTGGTATTATTCATTACGTCACAGCTGTGATAACTGCGGTATGTTTATTAAGTTAATTGAAAAACTTCAGATAATGTGAAGCCTTGAACGCAGCCTATGTCGTCCTGATTTTATCTTCTAGCTCTGTATGCTTCAGTGAATTTAGAGTCTAATGATGAAGACAGGTTTATAGTTTCAGCTTAGAATAAGAGCTGCAGTTATCAACGTTCAAACACCACCTCAGTATTTTGTATGAGGAACATCAGAATAGCCGGCCGCGCAAGGCCTCGGTTACACTTTCTGAATCGATCTTGGTTATTTGTATGAGGCCTGTTTCCGGTGAACTCAGTAGACGATAATGTGCGACGGGAAAATATGAAATAAAGAATTTTCTCCTGTTTGTATTTAAATTTATATTAAAAGGTTGAAATTTGGTTGGTGCTTCACATTTTACATATATCAAGAATGTCCTCTCTGCTCCAATAGAAATGGATGAACTGGGTCTATATTTGCTACGCACTTTTTTCATAGTAAACTGATAGGTTCGTTGAGACCCAGCAACTGTCCCTGTAAACTATTTGACACAAACAGAACGTGAATTTTGTAAGTACAAGGTAGTCTTACCCAAAGGTTTGTTTGTTGTTGGGTTCAAGCCACGCCAGCGTCTTTGACTATATGCGCCTGAATACAACATAGGTATAAGAACAAACTGTATCTCAGCTTGGTGAGATACGTCCTTGTACCAAACATTATCTGAGAGCATGTCATAACGCTGTTTAATAATAAGGACGACACTGTCTGGAGGTGAGTTAGGAATTGTGCGTGCTGTCATTTCAAAGACCGTTGACACACTTTACGACCGAAGTGCTTCAG